TCAACTATTTGCACTTTATTATTTAAGACTGGCAATATTGCACTATTTTCTGTCTCGTCATATTTTATGTTTAGGATGATACCTGTCCAAGTATTGATTTAGAATCAAAACAAGAAAGATACTCCACCTTGTATTGTATGTATAAAAAGAATATAGTCTGAATAAAACAGTAAATTTCTTATTTCAAAAAAACACACAAGATCAAAATCCACGTTTAGACCTCTTGGCTGTAAAGTTTTTAATTTATGAATCCAAAACCCTTCTCTTTTTCTCAGTTTCATCATCAAATCTCCTCTTTTATCAAGATATACTTGTTCTATTGCAATAAAATTAAGATAATTATTAAAAAGGGGACACATGCCGCAGTGTGCTGGAACCGAGTGAGTGGTAATCTTTTTACGTATGTTATTAATGTGTTCCAAACACCTTACTTTAGCCTTTCTGCCTGTCCTCCCAACATATTGTGCACCACATCCACAAGTGATTTAGGTACACAACATGTGTGGAGGAACATGAAATCCTACCCCTAATTTTAAAGACTTCCTAAGTCTGTGTACTTTTGAAATCTTTATGGGCTCTATAGGGGTGCCCACACGCCTTACAGTTGCCACAAGTATGAAAATTGGAATTTGTGTCATGTGGTGCAGAAGGTGGGGGGCTGGCCGGAAAGGTGGCGCGTTATCTTTGAATAGGGCCACAATGGTGGCTATTTTTTCCCAGAACGGTACTATGAGTGGGCATTCCCACCATATGTGTAGGAAGGATCCCTCCTCTCTCCCGCACCTCCAGCAGAGGCCATCGGTATTTATGTGCATATTCTGTAAGCGTTCCGGTGTCCGGTATCATTGCGTGAGAACCTTATAGGCCGTTTCCGGAGTTTTACTAGCAATTGCGCAATGGTGCACCAGGTCACAAATCTTGTGCCATTGATTCTCCGTGAGTGTTTCCCATTTGGACATGAAGGGGGGTGGTGGGAGTCCCTGCTGTTGTTATATCATCGAGTAAAGGTAGGAGATGCTATGGGGCATGGGATCCGGGTCCTGGCATAGTTGTTCAAAGGGTGTAAGGTCCCTATAGAGATCAGGGCGTTGTGGAATTGCGGTGACGTGGTTCTTAATTTGGGTGTATCTAAAGTCAGTCGTAAAGGTGTGTGGTTAGGTCTACCCATGAGTGTCTGCAGGGGCCAGATTTTCCCATTAGTAGTAATGTCTCGGTGTCTCTGTATGTCTTGCAGAAGGACGCAGCGAAGGTTGCCCAGTCTTATCCCCTTATTTAATAGCAGTGTCCTGCCATTGGAAAGGAACGTTTCGTCTGATCTGGTCCGCCCTCCTCCAGGGGTACCAATGTTGAGGATAGAGGATTTAGCATAGTTAATATTAAGGTTTGCGATTTGGCCATAGTTCTTAAACTCCGCCATGATGTTTGGGAGAGAGATGTCTGGCTTGGTGACAAAAGAGCATATAGTCAGCATATGCTGCAACCTTATGGTGGTCTGCTCCTACCATTACCCCCGTGATGTCTGGGTTGTCCCCAACTGCCTGTAGGAATGGTTCTCGGGCTAAAATGAATAGCAGTGGCGATAGGGCGCAACCCTGCCTGGTTCCGTTTCTAACCTGGAATGCATATGTGTGCAGACCCAGTTTATGCACACTCTGGCCATGAGGGATGAGTAAAGGGATTCTATCCAAGACCACATATGGGTCCCCAGGCCAATGTGTTCCAGGACCGTGAAGAGAGAGTCCCACGCTACCCTGTTGAAGGCCTTCTCCGCATCAGTAGAGAGGAGAAGGTTCTCCGAGGTGCGCTGCGCGTGGTGTATCAGTGACAGGGCTCATACTGTATTATCCCTGGCTTGCCTATGGGGACAAATCCTACTTGGTCAAGGGAGATCAATTCCGGTATGTGTGGTCCCAGCCTTGTCGCCAGTATTTTGGCACGGTCGCAGTTAAGCAACGAGATCATCCGATAACCTGTACACCGTTCGGTGTCTCCCCCCTCTTTCGGCAGTAGAATAATGTTGGTCGTCAGCGTCTGCTGAAGAATTCTATTGCCCTCTGTGATGGAGTTAAAAGCAGAGATAAATTGGGGGGATAGAGTGGCCATGAAAGCTTTGTAATATTTGAGGGGAGAGCCGTCCGGGCCTGGGCTTTTGCCTGTCTTAGAGTTTTTGATGGCGAGGGCCAGTTCTCCCTCCGTCAGTGGTGCCTCTAGGGCCTCCGTTGTGTCTGCGGAAAGCTTGGATTTCATGTATCTAGTGAGATAGGAGCTTATGCAGGGGGAGGGTGATGAGAAAAAATGTGTCGGTGGGGATATGTCCAAAATGACGGCCGGCAAAGTTTGTACATTGGGATGGGGTTGGTCTCCGGATCAGGTTAAGGTCCAGTGTCCAGCATTAAAGAAGAAAAGTCAGGAGGGTGCGTGGTCGCCTGGACGCAGTGGGAGGGGGGTATTTATGCCCACTAACTGAATGTTTGGATGCATTTTAGGCAGCCATGACCCAGGGAGGATTTCTAACAGTCATCTAAGGAGAGGCCAGTGAAGTTATCACTAGGATGTAATGTAAACACAGCATTTTCTCTGAAAAGAACGTGCTTACAGCAAAAAGCCTGATGGTAATGATTCTACTCACCAGAACAAATTCAATAAGCTGTAGTTCTGGTGACCATAGTGTTTCTTTACCTATATTCATTGTCAGGTCCACACAAATGTTGTTCCCATACATCCCTCTTAAGTTTCCATACTTAAGTAAGAGTATGTGAAAAGTAGTTAGGGTTGCCACCTTTCTTGGAAAAACATACCGGCCTTACTAATTTGCATAATTAAATATGTGTGGGTGACATCACATGATGTAAATCACAAGGAGTGACATAAGAGAAAATGCTGTAAAATCACCAAAAAACTACTTAGTTTAAATCTGCTGTATAGATGGATTCCTCCCAGTGCCCCCATCTCCCAGTGCCCTTGATAGTGCGTGTCGATTACAGGTCTCAGTGTTCCTATGTATCAGTGTCTCAGTGCCCCATGTCTCCCAGTGTCCCCTACCCCAGGTCTCCCAGTGATATGTATCAGTGTCTCAATGCCCCATGTCTCCCTGTGTCCCCATGTATCCCAGGGTCCCCATGTCACTAGGACACTAGGAAGACCCTGGGGACACGGGAGACCTAGGGACAAGGAGACACCAGTGACACTGGGAGACTAGTGGACACATGGGGACAATGGGAAAATAGGGGACACTTGACATGGGGACACAGACACCAGGGACAAAGATACTAGAGACACTGCTGGGGGACATGGGGACATTGAGACATGGGGGCACTGGGAGACATGGGGACACAGACACCAGGGCCACAGAAACTAGGAACACTAGCTTGGGGACATTGTGACACTTGAGGCACTGAGAGACATTGAGGCAATAGGAGAAATGGAGATAGTGAGACACTGGCAGACTGTGGGCACTGGGAGACTAGGGGGCACTGAGACACCAGGGACACTGGCTGGGAGACATGGGGACACTATGTCCCCATGTGTCTGTGCCATAATGTCTCCCAATGTCCCTTAGTGTCTCAGTGTCTGCCATAATATCTCCCAATGTCCCTTAGTGTCTGAGTGTCTGCCATAATGTCTCCCAGTGCCCGTTAGTGTCTCAGTGTATGTCTCCTTGCAGCCTTTTCCCCATCCCTTACTTCCCTGAGCTGTAGGCTGTCTCTGCATGGTGGGAGTTGCTGTCTGGACTCTCTGTAGCTGCTCCCCTGCAGATCAGTGATTATAGATAGGCAGGGAGGGATATGCTGGAACCCCTGCCTGTCTCCACATACAGCGACCCCTACTGGCCAGTGCTGGTATTGCAGAGTAATCTCCATTTATACTGAGAAAAATACCAGCATTTATATTGCCAGTATCACTGCAATATTGGCACCAGCCAGGCAGCCTCAAATACTGGCTGTGCCAATAAAAGCCATGTGGAATCCCTAGGAGTAGTGTGTGGAAAAAAAAAAAAAAAAAATTTTTTTTTTTTTTTTTTAAATCAATGGGCCTATTCCATGGGCCTGGGCCTGGAGCTGCAGCTCCATCAGCCCCTATGTTAATCCGGCCCTGGTCAGTGGTGCCTCTAGGGCCTCCGTTGTGTCTGCGGAAAGCTTGGATTTCGTGTATCTAGTGAGATAGGAGCTTATGCAGGGGGAGGGTGATGAGAAAAAATGTGTCGGTGGGGATATGTCCAAAATGACGGCCGGCAAAGTTTGTACATTGGGATGGGGTTGGTCTCCGGATCAGGTTAAGGTCCAGTGTCCAGCATTAAAGAAGAAAAGTCAGGAGGGTGCGTGGTCGCCTGGACGCAGTGGGAGGGGGGTATTTATGCCCACTAACGGGCGATACCTGAGGGCCTGGTGGCCTCTTGCCGTCCCCACTGGGTACGTTGCGGCAGTGCCGGTCTCGGGTAAGGGTTTCTGGCCTGGTTGTATATGTCTAGTGGATCAGGCCATCTCATGTTGATAGCGGGCAGTTGGAGCTCTGTTCCCAACTCTATGTAGTCGCTATGAGTGCGGACCAGGAACGGGCCTCTTGGGGTGTGGACTAGCAACTCCGTGGGCATCTGCCATCTGTACCGGATTTGTTGAGCTATCAGCACTCTCGTGAGCGGTTTCAGGGCTCTTCTGTAATTCAGGGTAGCCGGTGATAGGTCTGGGAAGAGTTGCAGGTCCTGGTTCCGGTAGGTGAGTGTTCGTTTAAGGATAGCCTCCTTTAAGGCGAAATTAGCTAAGCAGCAAATAATGTCTCGGGGTGGGCTATCTGGTGGGCCCTTCGGGCAGAGGGCTCTATGCGCTCTCACAAATTCTATTGGCGCCTGATTGGTCTCGGCCTAGCAGCCCACTGAAAATTTCCAGGAGGCTTTCCCTCAATTGAAGTGAGGAGTCTTCGGTTTCAGGGAGGCTGCGAAGCCTTATGTTGTTGCGGCGCACCCTATTGTGCAAATCCTCAAGGGGGAGTGCCATGCCATGTATCTAATCGGAGCAGGTTTCTTCGGCATCTGCCAGCGTGTTCTGGGCCGCCCGCAGGGTGTCACAGGCTGCCTCCACGTGTCTCACGCGGTCAGTCAGGCCCTGGAGGTTGGCTCTCAGCGCCTGGATGTCCTGCCTGATCACGGCTCCCACCTCTGAGGTGGTGGAGCAGAGATCCTCCTTGGTGGGTAAGGCCTTTAGGAGGTCTAGCCATGGGGGCCAATCAGTACTTCCAGCGAGGAGGTCGGATGCTGGGGAGGAGGGCGCTGAATCCTCAGACGCCATTGATCCATCGGCACCATGCGGCTGAGTTGCGAGGTGCGCGGGGGTCACCTGGAACTGGCACAGGGACGAGGTGAGCGTGCCCTTCTTTGGGTCAGGGGTCTTCCCCCGTGTGCGGGGCTTTGTTTTATCTCACCATTGCGGCAAAACAGGTGGTCGATTGCGTGCGGATGTGTCGGGACCCTGGGGGGGAGAGAGTTTATGCTGCCACTTTCTTCGGCTGCCAAGCTACGCCCCCGAGGTTTTTTGTTTTGTTTTTATTGTTTTTTTTTTGACTATATGTTGAATATCAAATGCTTTAGAATTCTATTTAGTATTGAAAGTTAGAAATATTCTTTGGTATATTTATTATTTTGGAGTAATTCTTCCCCATCTTTGAGACCCATTTTCAAGATCTCGTCCTCCAAAAATGATTTTCTAAAAATTTCTTTAAAACCTCAGTTTGTCTACAATACAAATCTTTCTGAGTGCAATTTCTTCTTATGCGGGTAAATTGACCCTGGGGGACCCCCGTTAACCCTTGGGTGATGACCACTAGTAATGTCTATAAAACTATTTTTATCGTATAAAAAAAAAACTTTACAAATTGTTTTTATATGTGAAAGTACTATATACAAAGTGAGGTCCAGAAAAACAATTTTTTGTTTTCCAAAATTAGGAGTGAATTTCAGTGATGGATAATTTGTATTAATATAAGTAATAAAATCATATAAAATTTCCTCTGGTTCATTTCATATAATAAAAATCTCATCTGATGGAATGTGAATGGGGAGATGCATGAGCGTCATACAATAACGAGGTATGGAATACACTCACATCCGGATGTAAGACAGCTGAACTACTTATCGCTGACAGGCTGGAGACACCGGTGGGAAGAATGAAGACCGATATAAGAGAAAGGTGAGTGATGTCTACTGAATCCCTGAGGAAGTAATAGACAGATGAAAAGCTTAGGGTTTGAGCTACAGTAGAAAGTTGTTTGATTTTGTTTATTTTTATTTGGTACAATAAATTGCCTGAATTTTAGCCAGTCGTGGAAGTGTTTTTCTTGGAATCCAGCCAGTGACCTCATCTTCTGAGACTTGATGTGCCTTGATGCCACTTGAATTTTGTAAGTATAACCTATTAAAGCGCTAAGTCCTTTTTATATGGTCCACATTTATTATTGTTTATTTTTTTTACTCTCTCCTATATGCCCTTTTATCGTGTCTGAGGATTTTTCAGTCAGCGTACACCATGTGATATGCCTACAATTAATTATAATCTTGTGAGTGCAATCTAAAGTGCACTGTTTAAAAGTGTATTCATTATACTACTCTGAGTTTTTCCATTTCCTTCCAATTTAGATATTTTCTGTGTTTTTTTTTATACTATTAGGATTCCTCCAGGTCCCCGTCATATTCTTCTACAGTTTTGGGAGGCTTTAACTTTAGGTAAATCTTCTTTGAGGGGTTTGTCTGCACATTGTGTTAATTCCACTTCTTATACAAGGGTGCAATATTTTTGTACTATATATTTGGCTGTGGATTAGTTGCCAACTCCCTTTTTTATTTATATGTATTTTTTAAATACTTCAAACACTTTATTTTATAATTCATCTAAATATATCCTGACTAGGCTTGATACCGCACCTGCTTATGGCACGTGGCTCCTGAATAAAAATCAGATACCCATGGTGGGACAGACCTAAAAAAAAAAAATTTAAAAAAAAAATTTGGTTGGCCTGTTGGTCCAAGAGACTATAGAATAAGATATACCCGAAGCCTTGATGTAGTTTTGTATTAACATGTTTTTCCTAATTAAGCAGGTACATGCATGCTGGAGCATCACGTGATAATGAGAGGTTTTGTGCACACCTGCCCAGAAATACACTATCATTTTTGGTTTATTTTAGCTTGTGTACCACTGTTAAAGTTGCATACCTTGCCCACTCAAATGCCAAAGGAAAAATGCAGATGATTAAAGGTGTTTTTATTAATTATAGGTACATGCATATTCAGCCATGTTGCATTGAGCCTTGTATAGTATATAACTTTTTATTTAGCTATGCCATTAACACCTTCACCCAAATTAGGATATACACAGATAAGAGGTATACATTCGTATTCTAACCATTACATAAGTTTAAATGCATTTTTTTTAAAACATAGAAATATCACTATTTTAGTATGATCGGAAACTAATATTCCAGTACTTAATTTATTGCAAATAATGACATGGTTGTGAAAGAGTAAAAGTATTTTGAAATCTATTCTGTACCAAGACCAGGAAAAATGATGATGAAACAAACTCTCCCCTAAAGTGTTGGTGCTCCAGTGTTTTGTCCAATTAATATTGGCAATAGTATCACTGCTTCATATTTAATTGTTTCTCCTCTTTGCTATATTACTTAACAGCTCCTACGATGGATATTTTAGAATGTATTAAAACACTTATGATTTTTGTCCAACTAAGACATGCATGTTTACCAGGAGACACTCATTTTGTAGATCCTGAACAGCGTCTCCCTACTCTGTTTGGAGATGCTAAGCGATCCCAATAGAGATGCACTGCCTCAATGAATTTCTCTAAAGAGATGGTTGGTTGCAGAGCAGTGAAGGCTGGGCATGCACAGTAGTCTCCTAAAACGTTTTATTCATCAAATTGAATTCAACAAATTTAGAAATTGTTGAAATTATTTTTTTTTAAATCTTTTTTACATAATGCATGACATTTTAAAAAATTTTTATTTATAAATTCTTTATATTATTCGTGCATAGGTTAAACAAGCAGGTTTACTTTGCCACACCAGCTGGCGCTAACAGATGAATTGACATAGTAGTACATAGTTGTGGTATTGAGAACAGTGCACATTTTTATTTAGTCAATCAAGCTGAGCTTTAGGTTTGCAAACTAGAAAGTAAGTCATGCTAGGCACATGTCCAGGATGTTGAATTAATACAGAATTATCAAGCTATAAACCTCAGTTAGACATGTAGAGCGTAGGCTATAAACTTAATAGTGTTACTGGATCTGGGTTCATTTTTACGGTGCCCCTAGGGTCTGGGAACGGGGCTGTTTGGTATTACCCCGGGGGTTTAGCTTGTGCAGAACGCGAGATCGGCCACTACTCCCACCCGTTTACCATGCCTGGCCTCACTGGAGATCCTCAGAAATGTGTGAAGGGAAGTCCGCAAAAAGCGCCCTCAAGCTTTCCGACGGCCACCCAAAGCAGGTTGGTAACTTGAATAGTCGGATTAGCGTTTTGGGAATAGGTACAGTAGCAGTTTTTGAGATTAGGCTGGGAGCTCACCCAAAACACGTCTTGCCGCCATGCAGGTCAGGCCCCACCCCGCCTATGCATGACATTTTAATTGTGAATGTCATAATACTGTTTTCTTTTACTGCAAGAAAATACACATTTGTGTTCAGCGATGTTTCACCACTACAGTAGTAGCCCCAGGTACTAAGTTACAGGGTTAAATATAGGGCTTTCCACAATGAAATTTGTGTAAATTTTTACACATTGAAATTTGCCAATTTGGTTTGTTGTGTCTATGTTGCTTTTGAGAACGTAAAGCGGCCCAAGGCATAACATTTGGAAAAGGCAGACAACCTAGGGTATTCAAAATGGGGTATTTCCAGTCTTTTTTTTTTTAGTAGCCACTTGTCAGAAATGCTGGCCAAAGTTAACATTCATATTTGTTGTATTTGTTTGCCATTTTTCACACTCAAACTGCACGTTCACTGATATCATTGTAATACATTTTGAAACCGTAATATTTGTGTAAAGCAAAGTCTCCCCAGTAAAACAGAACCTCCCCCTCCCCCACCAATGTACAGGTTTTATGGTGTTTTGGAAAGTTAATGGGTTAAATATAGGGCTTGCAAATTAAATTATCTGGACTTTCTACCTTGGGTGTCAGGTCCCTCTATTGTAATTAATAAAAACACTTAATTATGTAAATAGATTACATAGAATTACAAACATTACATAGAATTTAAATATATATGTGTCTGTATATATATATTTAAATTATTCATGTATATTTATGTAACCATATTTTTTTTAATTTAAATATATTTTTATTTAAAGTTATTTTAAAGCCCATTTAAATGCCATGGCATAAAAATGTTGTACTGGTGTTATGGAGTTAAAATGAGATAAAATCTTAAAATTTAGCCTGAAAAAACAGAATTCGAAATTTTGTATAAGCCCATTTTGGCTATTTTGATTTGACTTCTTAAAACCGCTCTATCACCTTCTGTGGTCTTTGCTTCAACCACCAGGCACCCATGTTGGTGCTGATGTCTATGAAGGATCTATAGGGTTGCGTGTGCTTCTACGGAAACTTCACGGCAGTAGTTCAGTTGTTGGTCTTCCTATTGCTAGCATTTATAAAGCACCAACATAGTCTGCAGAACTGTACAAATTGGGGGGGAAAAACAGTACAATATGAAGACAGTACAAGTTAAACCAGTACACAAATGGTAACGAGGCCCTGCCAACGAGCATCTAGCCATTGAAGATATTTTATACAGAGTAATGTGCTAGATAGCCCATGAGCTTACAATCTAAAAGTGTCTTTGCTGTATCTTATCTTTTGACTGCATTGGAATTTCAGATAAAATCATAACCGCATTTGAGCATTGCATTAAGATTTAGCGCTCTTTATTATTTATCTATTAAGATAGTTTCTTTTTCTAGGTCAAGAGAATAAACCAGTCAGAAGTTGAACTTTTGCAGACAATTCTTTTTTCTCCTCTTCAATGCGTAGAAGTCTTTGTTGGATCTCTAACACAAGAAAACCGTTTTGAATGACACATGAAAAGAAAAAAGGTAAATACTGAAGTACTTCATGCCATAAACCCCTAGATACAACTATACACAGGATTATTCACAAAAGTGAGAAGTCAAAGTGAATTTTAAATTCAAGGAAAAAAAAAAAAAAAACAACAAAAAACCCTTTGGCCTAAAATTTTAAATTCACATCGACTTCACTTTGAATTCTCACTTTAAGTTGAGGTAATGACCCTGACCATTTCTCAAGGAGGGGAGGAGATGAAAGGAGGAATCAAAATAAGACTCTGGTAAGGTATGTCTTTTTGCTCATGATATTATTATTTTATTATTTATATAGCGCCATCACATTCCGTGGT